GAGGGAAAGCTTACACTCACACCCTTCTTTTCTGTGGCACAATCTCCCAGGATTTTGTTGGTACCTGTTGGTCAGAAAAGCAGGAGTTAACTCATCAGTGTGGTCCTGTGCGTATGTTTAGGCCAAGTCAGATGATGAATTGTATTGTTTTGCGTTTTAAATAAATTGTATATATTTTGTTGGGGAATTGAGCATTCCAATATGCTGTTTTGTTAACCATTTCAGACTTGCACTAAAAGATTGTTGAAGCGGTCATATAGCAAAAAGCTTTTTAGATTCTTGATTGGGTCATCAAAATTTTGGCTTGTAACCAGAAATTTACACAAGAAATATCTATCTAGCAGCTGATGAAAAAGAAAAGTGAAAAGGACCATTCGTATATAGCACAGTGCAGCAAGAGATGTAATCAGGTTAGGCTGTTCAATTGAGTGTGACTCCAAAAATAAAATATCTGAACAAAGTGCAGACTGGAAAACAAAATCCTTCTTTAAATGAAAACTCAATTTACATCCAGAGAAACATATCCGGTTTCAGATAATTTAGCTTCTTGGAGTTGAAAAGAAATAAGAACTGCCAAGGTGCAATTCAGAAAATAATATATCATTCGATTTTAGGATTACCCAAACAAGATTCATTTTTCCAACTCAACTTCCCAACTGTAACATACAGTATAAGGCAGAATTGCAAAACAAAAAACAATAAACGGCTGCCAAGCCTGACACACAGCCTGAGGATGGCAGGGATTCTGAGATTCTGCCGAAATGTCGCTATAATTTTAAAAGCACAAATATTAAGACGTGGGAAAATACCCGAAGAAACCTAAATACCATACACACACACACACACACACACACACACAGTATATTAAACCATCTGTGAAGACCCAGATGGGGCAATATGCTGACTCTGTAAAAACCGCTTAAAGAGGGCTGTAAAGCACTATAAAGCAATATTTAAGTCCAAGTGCTATTCTATTGCTATTTAATAATATGCAAAAGTCAGCTAGATTTGTAACAGGTTACTTTATAATCAAACAGCAAAATATCAAACAAAGACAGGAAAAGAGGGTCATTTTTTAAAAAAAGAAAGACGCTAGAATGTTATTAGACCGAATACCAGCAATCATTTGGACAGAAATACATCATCCTGCAGGAATTGCCAAAGTTAAACTTCAAAGTTTCCTTATCAGAACTGAACAAGATTGAGTGGCTCTCTTAGATATCAAACATTCTTCTGTGCAGGGCAAAAATGCTCGTATGAAAATGAGAGAAGAGAAAAATCTAGGAGAAATCTACCATTAAAAAGCCGCAATCCAGGTCAAGGGCTCGCTATCTCTAGAAAGATTCTTTTAACTAGCTTGGGAGAAAAAAATCGGGCCGACAGGTCATAATTATTCAAGACCATGGTATATCTCCAGCAGGAAATAAACATCTTAGGCAGGATTAACCGCCTCCAAGAATTATCTGAGGTGCCTAATTTGAACCAATGTTTTTACTTGGAAGGTGATCCCACCAGCTTCAACAAAGGGAAGGTTGAGTTCCAAGTGGAAAACAGCATCAGGTCTTTGTAAAGCTGCCCAGTGTCACAAAGGGTGAGTGGGCGGCTGTATAAATCATAAGAAATTGGATGGAGTTGTTTCCAATGCTTTTTTTTCTCCCCCTTTACAGGTAGTCCTTGACTTACAATGGTTCGCTTAGGGACCATTCAAAGTTACGGCACCGGAAAAAGGGACTTACAACTGTTTTTCACACTTACAACTGTGGCAGCATGCCCAGGGTCAGGGGCTTGGGAACTGACTCACACTTATGACAGCTGCAGTGTCCCATTGATTCCCTTTTGCAACCTTCTGACAAAAGTCAATGGCGAATCCAGATTCATTTAACCAAACAACAGCAGTGATTCACTTAACAAATGTGGCAAGAAAAGTCATAAAATGGGACAAAATTCACCTACAGAAACATTGGGCTCAATTGAGGTCTACCTGTAATAATACAGCTGACGTTTCATCACTTTGGACTAAATAATGTCACTGCGTTAGGGACAAACATGTTGCTACTGGAGCTAGGAAACTGGATTATAGCATTGGAAATGCTTAAATGTGATTTTTTTTCCCCCTCATCAGTTAACTATTGGGGTGAAACTATATAACTAATGACTTGCTCAGCATACATACAATTTATTTATCTGGCAGGTATAAGGACAGCTGAAAGTTCTTGTTGAAAAGACCTGTTTTTGTTTTCAAATAATTAATGTCAATTTTTCATTCCTTACAAAATCTTGCTGAGGCTTACAGGCTCATCTGAAGGCTGACTTGGAACAATGACAAACAGCTGCATCCACACAATGAGAAAAATGGATATGGATTTATCGCTCAATATGAAGGATGAAACTCACTTCTGGACAGTATTAACACAGAGCTGAATGTATAGAGAAAAGGAACAAGCACTGGTTCATTTTAAGATGGAGGAGACCTCTAAAAGTAGCATATCTTACCTGCATATGGTAATTGTCAAGGAACTTAAGAATTTGACTAAGTAAACAGGGATGACAATTATAGTCATCAATTTGTCCCAATTCTTTTTCCTGGATATTAAATCAAGGGCCACCTTCAAATCAATGAAGGCAGTTAACAACACACGAATGGCTTAAATATTTTTCATGAGCTTATGTGGCCTTATGCATTGAACATTGTCTTGGTGCAGCCAATGTGCAAATTTCCCCTAGGCTGGAAGAATAATCACGGATAATCCTCAAGTGTAAAGCAAACAAAGTATTAAACCTTACTCCTAGATTTTATGTACTTTGTGGGTATGTCCGTGTGGTTTAATTCCTTACAGTAGGAAACTAGGCTGCTGTTTTCCTCTCTGTTTATTTTATTTTTATTTCCCAATATGCCCAGGTATCCCATGGCAATTTCATATCCAAATACTAACCAAGCCTGAGACAGCTTAGCTAAGGCTAGATAAGGTGCTGTACATGAAGGTAAGTATGAAAACCAAATTTTCCACTAGAAAACAGGAAGTGATTCAATTTCTAATCCAGGTGATAATCCAGGGAGGGTGGAAATATCAAACCAGAACCTTGTCAGCAATAACTTTTCCTCTTGTGTTTTTATCCAGATGAACTATTTGGTTTCCAGTTCTAAACCGGCTGGATTCCTTTTAGCATTTTTAGAAACAGCAGAAGACATGGCAGCTCTCAAGCCTGTCATTACGGCCAGATCTGACTTACTATAAGGATTGATCACACATGAGGGAACAGCCTTAACTTCTGAAGTAAGATGCTCTTGGTCACTATTAAAATCTGGATATTAAAATCTGGAGTCAAAAGAACTTTGCCAATTGCCAAATGAGTTTTCCGAAAAATACAATCTAATTTATCATAGATACATTTCTGTTGGCTTCTTAGGATTTTCACATTGTTTATCTTTATGGTGTCCCTGCCAGACATTAATTCAATCAATCAATCAATCAATCAATAATAAATAGACAGTGTCAAGACACTGAAGTGATGACACTGAACTTCAAAAAAAAGTAACCAAACAACATGGAAGACAACACAAAAGGACAATACTAAATCCCAAAGCCACCAGCACAATTTCCCTAAAAACACCCAGGAAACAGCCTGTAGCCTAGTTCTGGCTGAAATTGAAAAATGTTTGATTTAGCAGCTACACTGCTACAATTTGCAGCAAAGGCTCCTGTCACCCAATGCTTCTCTGTAGGCAGAGAAAGAACCCTGAAAACTAATATAACAAGGGGGGGGAAATTAGCTTGAGTCCTTTATCCTAAGGAGGAACTAGCAATGCATATTATATAATGTCACCTAAATCATTAAAATGATACAACCCTTCAGGGACAACCAGATCCCTGGCAGCGATGCAAAAAAATTTCTATATCAAAGCTACCTTGTGATTGAAGCATCTTAAAACGGGAGTATCATATACTTGGAAAATCCAATCTATATTGGGAAACAAAGCATTAAATTAAGCGGACCACAAGGCATCTCTAAAAAAAAGTGCACTAAACCTTCCCAATTGTTTAGGAGGAGGAGGAGGAGAAGGAGAAGGAGGAGGAGGAGGAGGAGGAGGAGGAGGAGGAGAAGGAGAAGGAGAAGGAGGAGAAGGAGAAGGAGGAGAAGGAGAAGAAGAACTTTGTCATTGTACAAGTACAACGAAACTGTGGATGCACCCCAGCAACTGTTCACAATACAATAAAACAAAAGCACTTAAAGATGAAAATAAGAAAAATAGAGTAAATAAATAAAAATAGAAAGATGCACAACTCAAAACTGGGGCTTCCTTTCACCTAGTCAGTTATCAACAATTTTTTTTGACAAGCACTCTTGCATGAAGCAAGCGAGGACCATTCACATCAACATTTGGATGCAAGATTTTTGGGGAAGCATCAGATGACCAGATCTTGTTGGCTCCCATTCATTTCCCCTCCCTCAAAATTCAACCCCAGGCTATATTGGGGGCAGCTTTATAGGCCAAAATAAGGAAGGTGTTTGTTGGAATCCCTCCGAGAAGGAAGATTAAACGCTTAGGGCATAAAAATCAGTGTCGGGAATAGCAGAGAAGCCTGGAGGAGTTATCCAGCGCTATTCACACATGCACATCAAAGATATCTTTGCAAGGAAATGCAGCAATAAAACCAGATGCCAGGGGGAAAGAAAAAATAAAAGACGACCCTGTGGGTCAAGAAATGTCAGCACCCAAGCTGGACTCCTGCAAAAACCCAGAAGGAAGGCAGATGCACCCCGTTTTCCAACTGTCAAAAAACGAGGCTTGAACACGGAAAAACGAACAGCATTCCCAAAGACACGAACAAAAACGTCCCATAGAAAGAGGGTGAGATCCTGAAAGGTGATGGAGGAACAGAAGTTTCTTGCGTGAAAAATGCAAATGCACCGAAGAGACACCCCCCGCCCCTTCATCCACTCACCTAGGGACAAACCTGGCACAACGCAACAACACAAGCACACCGGTCCATACTCACTTTTTGTGATGCGGTGGGTGCTTCTCCTTCCTGCCGGGAGCTGCGGGGTGCTTGGGGCGGCGCCTCCGGGCCTGCAAGGCCAGTACTGCCGGACGTTAAAAGGGAGGAGAAGAAAAAGAAAAACAAAAATACAAATTACTGGAGGCAGGCTGCACGCGGGCGCCCGCTTGACGATGCAAGGGCCCCCCCCCCCCCCCCCCCCCCCCCGACTAGTCCAGAGCCTCCGCCCGGCGACCCGCATCTCTCCGGGGACCGGAGGGACCCTTCGCCGGCCCTCCCCAGCCGTACCTTTCCGGGAGCTCATTGCTCTCCGGCCACCTGGCCTGGCCCGGAGCCACACGCACAGCTCCCTCCGGCTCCTCCCCGCCGACTCAGGCCGCCAACGCCGGGCGCCAACTCCAAGAGGGACAGCAGGGCCGCCTCACGCCCAGCCGCGCCTGCGCGGTTGCGCCGCGCCGGGAGAGAGGCGGAGCCGGAGGGAAGGTCGCTAGGTAACCGGAGGGGCCGAGCCTCAGGGAGCCACGCCTTTTCTTCTACTATCTTCCCCCCCCACACACGGAGGCGCAGGCGGGGTGACGTCACCCTCAGAGGCAGGTTTGCTAGTCCATCCAGTGTTTGCATCTTTTTTTGGGGGGGGGCGAATTATCTGTGCATTGATTACTCAGAATACAGCTGGAAAGGACCTTGGAAGTCTTCTAGTCCAGCCCACCCTTGCAAAAAAGAGCGGGGAGTGAAATTAAACAGCCACAGGAAACCCTTATTTTATAACAGCTCATTTAGTGACTGTTTGAAGTTACAGAGGCACTGAAAAAAGTGACTTCTGACAGTTTGTCACATTTTATGACCCTTTCAGCATCCCCCAGGGTCATATCCTTGGCAACTGGCTCATATTTACGACGGTTGCTACCTCCTGGGGTCCAGTGATCCCCTTTTGCGACCTTCCAACAAGCAAACTTAATGGGACAGCCCGATTCACTTAACAACCGTTACTAACTTAAAAACTGCAGCGATTCACTTAACAATGATGGCAAGAAAAGGTCCCAAAATGGGATAAAACTCACTTGGCAACTGTCTCACTTAGCAGCAAAACCCTTGGGCTCAACTGTGGTCGTAAGTTGAGGACTACTGGTATTATCCTTCCTTTCTTGTGTGTGCTTTTTCCAGGTCAGTTAAATATGAATTATTTTGTGATTGTTGAATGATTGATTGAATTATTCATTGCAGATTAAGCTTAGGCAGTTTCCCACTAGGGACTTGGAAAAGATCTTGGAAAGAAAGATAACGCTCATATTGTTTTTAGATTTTTATCTCACCTTTATTACTTTATAAGCAAATCAAGGCAGCAAATATACCTAATACTCGTTCCTCTTCCTATTTTCCCCTCAACAACCACCCTGTGAGCTGAATTGGATTGCGACAGGACTGGCCCAGGGTCAATGTAACAGCTATTTATGACAGTTTTGCCGAAAACCAACATTTATTTCTGTTTTTTTGGCAAAATCAGCCCATAATGAATAATGTTTGCTTAGTGACCGTAACAATTGTCTCAAAACAAACCAGATTGGTTACCTTGTGACCTGCTTTTCAATCTTTTCACTGGCCATTACATACAACTGCTAATTGTCTTCACTCTGCCAGCTGTAGAGATATATATACATACATACATACATACATACATACATACATACATACATACATACATACATACATACATATATATGGTATTCAGCTTTGTTCCAGTATTTTCCCACAGTTGTTTCTGACTCACAGACACAATACAGAAGCCTGATGATGGCAGATGAGATTCTGCCGAAACGTTGCTACAACTTTAAAAGCACAACCACAATGACGTGGGAAACGTTTCATTACCCAACTGAGTAATATCATCAGTGCTAGAGGTGGGTGAGGTTGCTCTGTTTATGTAAAAGAGGCTAACCTGTCAGTGTTGGCGGATGTGTTCTTGGTGGTTCCATGATTAGATTGTTTTTACTGTTTGTTTGTCTGTGTTGATAGTTCCTTGATTGGAGTATTGTTTACTTCTTGATTATTGGTCTAGTGTTAATCTTAATTTTAATCTAATCTCATCTGGGTGTTAACTGCTAGCGAGAAGGTGTTTTTGTCTGTTTCCTTTTTGGCTTTTTGATTTTGAACTTTGATGATCATATTTTCCTATGGCAGTGGAAATTAGAATGCATGGCAATTCTCTAAACTCAACTGTTTCTGACTTTGTTTCGAACTCAATCTTGATTGCTTTTGTGGCTGAATTTAAGTGTGTAAGCTTAGATGCTGATTGTTTCTTTGTACACAGAAGCAACATTTGACTCTTAATACTTACCATTCCTTTTCCAAATTCCTCTTTAAAACCTCCTGTTTTGGAAGTACCCACAACTTCTGAAGGCAAGTTGTTCCACAGATTGATTGTTCTGTCAGGAAATTTCTCCTAGAAAGAGTGCCAAGAAGAGGAACCAAGATGATGAGGGGATGATTGGAGGCTAAAACATACGATGAACAGTTGCAGGAACTGGGCCTGGCTAGTCTAGTGAAGAGACGGACCAGGGGAGACAGGATAGCAGTCTTCCAATATTTGAGGGGCTGCCACAGAGAGGAGGGGGGTCAATCTGTTTTCTAAAGCACCTGAGGGCCAGACAAGGAATAATGGATGGAAACTGATCAAGGAGAGATTCAACCTGGAAATGAGAAATTTTCTGACAGTGAGAACAATCAACCAATGGAACAGAAGTTGCCTTCAGAAGTTGTGGAAACTTTCAAGAAGAGACTGGACTGTCATCTGTCAGAAGCAGTGTAGTGTCTCCTGTTTGTGCAGGAGTTGGATTAGATTACCTCCAAGGTGCCTTCCAACTCTTCTGTTATTCGTCACTTGGAAAAAGCACCTTTGGGACAACCACGACTTGGATGGTTGAATATCTTTACAGAGGTTTTAGCTATGCAATTGGGGATGACACCCTTCAAATGGTGTGGGAGTGCAAACAGATTTCCAGGGGGGGAAATGGTAGACTACACTACCATTTGCACTACTCAGCTGACCCTGAGGACACAGATAAACCTCCAAATGGCCACAACAACTCTAAATAGAGTGTCAGCATCTTTTTTTATAATGTGGTGACCAAAACTGGATGCAGTACTCTAGACGTGGTCTTACTAAGGCTTTATAGAGTGGTATAAGTACCTCCCTTGATCTCGATTATATCCCTCTGTTAATGCAATTTAGGATTGCATTAGTTTTTGTGGCTGTTGCTGTATTCTGCCGGCTCTTATTTAGCAAGTTGTCCACTAAGACTCCAAGATCCCTCTCACAGTCACTGCTATTGAGCCTGGTTTCTCCCAATCCATATTTGATTTTTCTTGCCTGAGTGTAAGATTTTACTTTTCCCTATATTGGATTTGTTCAAGTCTGTCAACAAGATCCCTCTGGATCTTTTTTTTTAATCATTTATCCTTTTTTAGATACCTCTGGATCTTTTAAAAAAAACATTTATCTTTTTTATTTAGATCCCACTGGATCTTTTTTTAATCATTTATCATTTTTATTTAGATCCCTCTGGATTCTTTTTTAAAATGATTTATCCTTTTAATTTAATTCCTCTGGATCTTTTTTAATCATTTATCATTTTTATTTAGATCCCTCTGGATCTTTTTTTAAAAACCATTTATTTTTATTTAGATCCCTCTGGATTCTTTTTTTAAATAATGTATCCTTTTTATTTAGATCCCTCTAGATTCTTTTTTAAAAATAATTTATCCTTTTTATTTAGATCCCTCTGGATCTTTTTTAATCATTTAACATTTTCATTTAGATCCCTCTGGATCCTTTTAAAAAATCATTTATCATTTTTATTTTAGATCCATCTGGATCTCGAGCCTATCATTGGTTGTTGCTATTCCTGCTATATTCATGAAGGCTAAAGCTGTTCCATTGGGCGATCGCCTGAGATCCGGGAGGAGATCCGTTGATCCTGCAAAGTGACCGGCCCCGTCCGATGCAAGACCCCAGGGCGGACCCGCAGCCCTGCGCAGAAGCCCAGCGTTGCCCGCCGCGGAGCTCCGCCTTTGCCCGCCCATGCTTCTTCCCTGCTCCGGAACGGCTCTACTGCAGGCCGCCAGTCGAGGAAGGCCTTCTCGTTCCCGCCCGGCCCAGAGGCGGTGTGGGAAGCCTGCAAAGGGGCCGCCCGGGCTCCGTTCTCCGCGTCCCTTCAGCCCGGTAAGCGTACCTGGCGGGGCCCGGAGGAAGAGGAGGCGGCGCCGTTCGACCAGCCCAGCTGGGAAAGAAGGACGCGGCTCCCCTGCCCCGGCGCCTCTCCGCCTCCGGACGGGCCATATGGGCCGATGCCTCGGCCGAGGAGCCCCTTTTCCCTTTTGCAAACGCCTGGAGAAGGGCTGGGGGAAGAGGGGGAGCTCAGTCGGGGGGCTTATGGGGAGGAGGTTGGGGGGGCCTTTCTGCTACCGTGTTCCCTAGTGGTGCTGGGGCTTCCTCCCCAGCCAGAAGGAGAAAGATCAGTGGATTTTGCATTGGGAGTGTTCATAAATAACCTTGGAAGTGTCTCTCTCTCTCTCTCTCTCTCTCCCTCACTCTCTCATCATCTATCAACCTACCTACTTACCAGTATCTACCTACCTACCTATTGGTATCTACCTACCCACCTACCTACCTGTATCTATCTAAATATCTGTTTATCACCTTATCATCTATCATCCTATTATCTATCTACCTACCTACTTACCTACCTACCGGTATCTACCTACCTACCGGTATCTACCTACCTACCTACCGGTATCTATCTATCTATCTATCTATCTATCTATCTATCTATCTATCTATCTATCTATCTATCTATCTATCTATCTATCATATCTATCCTATCATCCTATCACAATGAGAACAATTACTCAGTGGAACAACTTGCCTCCAGAAGTTGTAAATGCTCCAACACTGGACATTTTAAAAGAAGAGCTTGGACAGCCATTTGTCTGAAGTGGTGTAGGGTTTCCTGCCTAAGCAGTGGGTTGGACTAGAAGACCTCCAAGACCTCCAACTCTGTTATTCTAGATTGATCAATCAATCTATCTATCCATGTATTTATCTCTGTCATCTATCCATCTGTCTCTTACCATCTATCTGTCTATCTTCTGCCTATCTCTCTTATGTAATATGTCTGTCTGTCTATGTACCCTATCTATTCATGTACCATCTATCAGTCACCTATCTATCTCTACTATCTATTTGTCTGCCCCTCCGTCCGTCTGTCTGTCTGTCTGTCTGTCTGTCTGTCTATCATCTATTCTTCCCTGTCATGTTTTAGGGTTCATGTTTGAAGGTCAAGGTGTTGGGTTGTGACTAATGGTTTCTATTCTTTTTCAGAGTCCTTGGTTGTGTGCAGAGCAGAGAAAGGAGACTGGCTGTGACTTTGAATC